CCACAGGGCTCCTGCCTTCCCTGCAGGAACCTCCCGATCATCCTTTGCAGTGCACAGAGAGAACCAAGTGCCTGGGGCCCAGCCTCTCACTCCACAGTCCACATCTCCACAAAGGAATTGTTACCTAAACAAGGGTCACAGATTGGTGGCCCTCGGATGAGATGTGGCCCCAAAGTGCTTTAAAAATGTAAGTTTGTTGCCAACATTTAAAAATAAGGACGTTTCACAAGAAGAAATCTGGATTTCCAGGCACCCTTGAAAGATCAGAAGGAAGGTCTGGCCATTCCTGGGCCACTTGGGTGACGTGGCTGAGCTTGCTTCACTCAAGGGCATCATCATGTGGCCCTAAAGACAGAGCAGGACCGGGACTGCGGTGAGGCAAGCACTTTCCTCAAATCCAAAGCCTAAAGGGGCCCCATGAAAAACAAACCAAAACCCTGCTATCAAGATAAATACTATGCTACTGCAATATTTTAAAAATTCAAAATAAATGCAGAAATGATCCAGGAAGAACAAAATACCCAAATTTTAGGAAAGACAAGATCTGACGTTGCACTTGGACCAGCCAGGAGCTTTGCTTCTCCCAGGCCCTGACAGATCCTGTCTTTATTTAAAACATCGGTATGTTTTCACCACGGTTTCCTTTGCATTAAACACTGCTTTGACATATGTATCTCCATGGCTGAGTTCTTGGCATCCCCCACTCAAGTTCTGTGCTCCTAGCGAGTGCCTCAGTCTTCTCACCCTCATCTTGCCCCTGCTCGGAAGTTTGCAAACTCTGCCCCAAGCCAACGTTTAGCAGATGGGGAAGCTGGGGCCCCGCGGATTCCTCCCCGTGTGAAAGGCGGCTCGATGCACCTCCTCGTTCCTCGCAAGTGGCTGCGGTGAGGACGGGCTCCAGCAGCGCCTGTGAGGTCTCTTGTGGGGGGGGGGCCCCCGGGGGGAATGCTGAACTGTCTTCGTGGCAAACGTTCGACCTCTTCCCACAGCCCCTTCCTTTGTCCCCACCCTTCACCCCCATCCCCCACCTCCTCCATCCTTCATCCCTCACTTCCTCCTCATCACTTGCCCCCATCCTTTACGTTTCTCATCTTTTGCAGGGCTGCCTCTCCCCCCGCCCCGCAAAGAAAGAATACTGATGGGGAATGCAGGATCCACTTCTTTATTGCAGGAAGACTATTTCTAGAGCAAATGCTACACAGACCCCACAATGGGGGGCAGGGGGCACCCACATGCGGGGGGGGGAGGGGAGAAGGTGCAGGGGTGGAACCACAGCAAGCATGACCTGGCACGGTCCCCAGGACAAGGGATGCCCAGGCAGGAAGGGCCAGCAGCAGGCGTAGGCTCCTACCCCGCCTGCTGCAGGATCCCTCTCCCCAGGGAACCAGTGCCTGGGGTGGGAAAGGCCTGGAGGTGGGCGGGGTCTCAGGGAGATTGTGCTATCAGGGTGTGTCCCTGAGAAAGGGCTGCAGACACCTGCCCGGCAAGGCCCAGGAGAAGCTCCCAGGGTGCGGGTGGGGGGAGCATCACCAGATGCTGTTGGGCCCTGGACCCGCCACAGGATGGAGGAGCCCAGCTGTGCCCAGGCAGGACACTGCCAGCTCTTCCAAGGGCCCGTCCACGTGCCAGGTGGTGACACACACATGCACACACACACTCCCTCCCTCTCTACACGGTGTGCTCAGTAAACATCTGTGGAGTCACACGGACACAGGGAAAGTCAAACACACTGCTACCAAGATGGACACGAACAGTCCCCACGTGGTCGCACGACTGTCCAGCCACAGGGCCTTTCTCTCTCACACGTGCGCACACACACACAGGTCAGTCCCAACGCTGCCAGCAACCCCAGGTTGAGACCCATGTGGCGAGGAGCCGAGGGTGGCTCTGGCTGTCGTCCAGCGAGCCTCTGAGCCCCTTGGTCCCGCGACAGCAGAAGACTGAATGTTGCCAACAGCCGCGTGAGCTTGGGAGCGCACGGTTCCCCACTCAGCCTTCAGATGAGACTGCAGCCAGCCCGTGCTCCGATCGCAGCCTCGTGAGGTCCCGAGTAGGAGACGAGGTGAGCCACCCCCAGGCTCCTGACCCACAGGGATGGAGGTGATAAACGTGTGTTGTTTCAAGTTGCTGATCTGTGGCCATGTGTTTGTTAGGCAGCATCATCTGACTGATACAGAGTTCGAGCCGAGAGCCACCTTGCTACAAAGTCAGACAGGCCTCGTGTTCCTCAGGCAGAACGAAACGGTTTACAGACACTGTCCTATGAGCCACGTCCCTCGCTCCCCCAAATACGGTCACTTACAATCACACTTACGCTGGTACAAAGGTTCCCACCAACACAAATATCCACTCCTATGGACGATTGCACCGCCCACCCCTACGTGTTGCCTACACCATCATTACATACACAGACTATCACAGTAACACCCTACCCGAATGACAGCCACACACACACACACACACAAACACACACGAGTGTACGCGTAGACACAAGCCATCTGCCTGTCCACGCCAAGTTGCACAAATGCACCACCCATGGTCACTGCACCGCCCCCCCCAGGCCTACAGCCCACTTCATGGCTTGTCAGACACAGTCCCACGGGGTCCCATGAGTGTGGCGTTATCTAGACAGTCTGGAGCACTCAGAATTTCCTGGTGGAGGTAAAGCCCTGACCCCAGGAGACACGTCTTCCTGGAGAGACCCCCTCTCTCTGGGGCACAGCTGGTGGGAGACAGACTCTGCCTTGAGCCCCCTCAGATCCTGCTGGTGCTGGGTCCAGCCGCCTGCCCCTGGATGGGGCCCCGGGTACCGCCTCCCCAGCACCCCATGTCCCCCTGCCTGAGGCTCGGTGGTGACACACTGTGCCAGTCTGTGGGCCGTTGTCTGGGGACACCCTCCATATTCACGCTGGACAGTCCCGTTGGGTTGTGCTGTGGCCATGGGCCAGTCCTAGGCCTCCCCTGCCTGCACCCCAGCCTCACCTCAGGCTGGGCGAGCAGTGGGACTCCAGGCTGGCGGGGTGCTGTCGCAGGCTCTGTGGTTATTGCCTGGTGGCCTGAGACCCATCCTGCAAGCCTCCCCCGCCCCCCGCCCCCACCCCCGAACCGGGGCTGTGGGGACAGAGGTGAGGACTGATCTGGGACCTGGGGTGGGGGCACAGGCCAGAAGTCACAAAGGATGGAGCAGGGGCAGTGTACGTTAAACACCAAAAAGGAGGAACCGAACTCTGAGGTCCATGTGCATTTCAACTCTCCCCCCCGCCCCCAGCAAGGTCACAGTGATCTAATGGGGGAGACACAGGTCTGGCTCGGGGCACC